TCATGCTGTTTAGCATACATACCAAAACAGAGAGAAAATGGCATGTGTCACAAACCCACAATGGACTTATACTGCGAGAGCCACAGGGGATGTGTATGGTGACAGTGAATCAGGTTCTTTGCAGCCCTTTGTCATATTTAGAGTGTTAACAGGGCTGAAATTAAAATATCTGAAATGTTTTCCAGTGATAAGAACTCTCAAAGTAGTGATTCTTGCAGACTAATTGCCCTCAAAACGATTTTTTAACCCACTGCTTGATACACATCTGCCTGTCAAGGTAAAGGCAAGTGTCAGTTAAATCTGTTTATGTGAGGCTTATTTGAGGTGAAGAGCAGCCAGGAGCCCAGAAGGAGAGGATTTTCCCAGCTGAGAATTGCAAAAGAACATCTTTGGTTTAGGGAAGTGTTCAGAGATAAACGTGTGCAACAACCCTTCACAGTACCATGATCAGCACAAAGTCTCAGCACAGCTTAGTAAGGATGTCTGCTGGCTTCCTGAACATCACAGAGAAGGTTGCTCTATTTTCTGGCTTTAAAGCTGAGCTTTGCTTCTTTTCGTTATAATTAGATGTTGAGTGCTGAAGCTTGGCGTTCTTTGGTTGTGCCTACAGAGCCACAGAACTTCCCCATAAGCAACAGCCTATGGCTGGAGCTTCAGGCACTCTGGTAGCACAGGTAGGTTATAAATCACAAACATCCTCAGAGGCTCCTGTGCCTTCAGAAAACAAGGGAGGACTGGTCCAACATGCTCCCCCCTCTTTCCTATTTGCTGGCAGTGGCTCAGGAGTAGAAGACGTAGACATAGACTGTATGTGTGTGGGGGCTGGTTCAGACCTGCTGAAATGCAATTACCTTTGTGGTGCTCCATCAGCAGCTTTCATATAAAGAGTATTTTGGAATGAGCAGAAAAATGCTATGTGCAATGAAAAATATCAAAAAGGACTTGGGATGGTAGAATGTAAATAACTAAATGACCAAATCCGTGTTCTCTTCTTGAAAGAGATCCATTACACAGATGCTGTTGGATATATTGTCTTTTGAATGGCTCTGTCCTGTTCCTTCCTTGGCTGCCTGTGTTTCCTGCTCTGCCATGACACTGCTAGGCTCCTGGCATTGCCCCACTTGATTTGTCCAAATAATGGTCTTTCGAAGAATAATGCCCCTTTACTCCAGGTTGAGAAATGGCTGAATCAGTGAAAGCAGTCCTTGGAAGTTTTCCTGGGAGGTTACTGTCTTGAGTACTGGTCAGGACCTCATCTGGCGCAGCCTGTGAGAAATGCTGACACTGCAAACCCTGATGGTGAGGATTCAGGCTGTAGTCTTTCCTGTTAAAAAGCCCACAGATAACCTCCCTTGATACAGCTTGAAATATTAATCTGCATTCCGATTTCCACAAGTAAACCCCTTAACCTCTGGATGTAAAGGTGCTTTCCCTATCAGCAGCCGTCCAACCAAGATGCAGTTTTCAAGTGAATTTGTCATTAATGTGATAGTGTATGTGAATGCCAGGTTTGTGTAATGCTGTTAACAAGACTGCTTTCACTTAGATGGGCCCAGACCTTTAAATCTGTATTCTGGGTATGTGCGGTCTAGAATAGACATGGTGTAATCCATGTTAGGTGCTGCAAATGCAAACCTATATTACTGTTTTCATTAAAATCAAATCTAGACCTTAACAAAGCAGCTATATTTTTGGCACCTAACTTACTCTTTTAAAAAAAATATTTTTTAAAAAATTGAATAATGCTCATAGTCATTGAATTTTGGGAAATGCTCACACTTAGTGCTTTGACTTTTTCATGGGAATGTGTCACTAAAAGGAAAAGATGTTACTTCAGTACTGGCCAAAGCACAATTCCAACCCAGCCACTGTTGATATGATACAGCTTTTCACGTGAGTAAAACAGTCCACCTTGCAGGAGCTCCAAGCGCAGTTTTGTTCTTTTAGACTGAATTATTTTTGGATCATAAACATTGGTCAGCTACAGTAATTTGTCTGTTCTTTCTGTTGGTGCTAAAAAGAATCTGCTCTTTTTACCTCTACGAAGATGCACAATCAGAGCATTCACTGAACATCAAGTTTTGCTTGAAGTTTTGTGCTTCGCAATATATAAGAAGTTGAGAAATGCTGAGAAATGGGGCGTTAAGTGTAGGACATTGCATCCATCCACACAAGAGAAACTAAGTCCACTTCGTCTTAGCCTAGCTGAATCATCCAGGTTGCCATAGACCTTGCAGCTGCCACAAGTGATGGCTGTAGGTGGGTGTGCCTGTCAACTACCAAAGGATTTGGTACCTGGTGTGGGGTACAATGGATAAACCCTGCTTTTTCTGATATCAGTAGTGGTGCCTGGCATTTGCAAAGCTCATCTCTCTAGAATGACCTTCACACAGTATATAGGAGCTTTGATCTCTTTGTATATTGTGAGATGTGGAACTGTGTGAGAACAAAATGTAGCACAAATAAATGATGACATGAGAGGTACCAAGGTGCTGTGGGTTAAGGAGGCAGGATTTGGAGTAGGAGAAAAAGAATATCAATTTTTCCATCCAGCTCACCAGTCCCCTGTGTGCAGACTAATTTTAGAGATAATTGTTACATGATTTCCTGAATATAATCTATTGTTATCTGTGCCTTGCAAAATAAAGCCATGTCTAATTCTGGATAACCACAGGGGTGATTTCATAGTTACACTGAAATGAGGATAAGGACTTGTTAATGATCTTTAAAGATCACATCATTTAATTCTGTGCTCTTGCTAGTTAAACCAGACTAGTCACAAAGGGCTTCTATTGCAGGCAGCAGCCCCTGTTAATTCCAATGGGAGAAAGGAAGATGCTTCTGGTCACACATCTCACCTTGGTGTGCCAAGTGTTTGAGACAAAACATGGGATAATTTGCTATTTTTGTCTGTGTAACTCCTCCACAACCTGGAGCAAAGAGTTTAAAGGCCAAGTCCTGCTGCTGCTGAGAGTGCTTCTGAAGTGCTAAGAGCCTCTGTCTCCCGACCAGCAAATGTGTGACTTGTTCTGAAGAAGGAGGAAATTACCAGCCAGAAAATGCTTCCTCTCCATCAGGGCAGTTGGGAACAATGGGAGCTGCTGGGCACTCGATGAGCTGAAAGTTAAAGAAAAATGAAAAGAAAAGCTATGGAAAAGTACCAACAGCTCAGGAGGCGATGCTGCATTTTCCCTGCATTCCAGTGTTTTCCTGGCTTCAGGTGTGATTCTCTAGTGAAATCCTTGGGTTAACTTATAGAGGGAGAGACAAGGAGCAGACAACAGAATCACGTTCATCTGTGGTTTCCAGTGGAGAGAAGAAGGGAGCAGTCAGTTCTCCTCTCTTCTCAAAAACGGGTCCCAGGAGCTCATTACATTGAAATAACATGATGAAGAGCTGAAGTCATCCGACAAAATAAATTATTTTCAGCTTACTGGAAATGAGTAGTGGGTGAAGAAAAACTTTGTCAAATAGTTGTGAACAAAAACAAAAGAAAATGATCAAAAAGAAACAACAAGTTGGAGAGACATTTCTGACTTCTGTTTTCCAGTTGGTGCTTTCATTTCACAGATAGCTAAACAATGCCATCTTGGAGGCTTTAGCGGATCGGAAAACCTAACTGGACAAAAGGTACTAAATCCCTTAAATAAGTTTCTCAAATGTTCAGTCTATGAAACTTCTTTTGTAGGGTGAGTCACCCCCAAAATATATTTTAATGCCTTTTTCCTTTAATTGCTTTGGCTATAAAGTGGAAAAAAAAGCTCATGGGTTTGTAGAGACCATCAGACCAGTCCCACCTCCACCAGCAGGTCAGAATTTACTACCAGCATAACTAGCTCTGTGGTATTTGTATTCAATAAAGAGATAAAACTCTCTCATGAGCTGCTTTTTTAAATTTTGCTCCTTTTTATTTTTTTTTTTTTTTGAAGCCTACGAGGCACATAAAATGCAATTCTCAGCAGAAGGATGGTAATTGGGAGAAAATGTAATGGATGGTCCACATTCCTCTTTGAAGTTCCCATTGATCAGTGTTGCTGAGACTATTTTTCTAATCCATAACTCAGAAACATGAAGGAACTGCCACTTTATTCTTTGGGTATATGTGCTTCCCCTGCTAAGGAAACAGATCTGGACTCCTGAGAAGCTTTTATTCAGCTTTTTCTTTGCAAGATGGTGAAAAATGGGCAAGAATCAGGACACCAGTTCTGGTGTTGTCTTGAATACAAATTTTCCTGACATTAACTAAAGCAGTAGTTAGTTGTTTGATGATTTCTTTTTTATGTCTGAATTTTGTGTAAGACAACTACATCCAATACCTTCTACTTGAAGAATGTGCTTTCAGCCACTTCAGAGTTAATCAGGAGGTGTTGCCCCACCTCCTCCCCACTGGACAGGCAGCTTGTGTTGAAAAAACAAGCCTTTCACAAACGGGGAGAAGCCATCTGTCCAAACCATGTTTAGGAAAAGGGTGTTTTTAATGCTTCCATTAGTTGAATTCACAGGTAATAGTTTTCATAATGGAGCCAGTTAGTAGGATAAATTTTCATGGCCTTGATTGATACAGATGTGATGGCAAACCAGACGGAGTAGCTGTGGCCACAGCTGTTGGAAAGGTCAGGGAGTCACAGCTGGACACTTAACCAGCACTGGGACCACAGACAGGAATGTCTGTGGAATTGTGTACGTGCAGGAAAAATGTCTTGGTGTTGAAGGTGCCGTTTGCACTGATAAAATAGTTTCTCTGTATGGTCAGGCACTGCCAGGTCTTGATCTCTTTGCATTAAAAATCTCCGCTGAAAAGCCCCCTTTCTCGGCAGAAGTTTCCAAAGAGAAAATACATAGGACGAGGATCTCTCTGCTGGGGTCAGGTAATTACTTCTATGGGGGAAACCTGGTCACATAGAGGGCTGCTGGTTTGGAAGTAACTTCTGGTGGCTAGAAATAAAACTGGATCTATGACACAGAAGTTTTCATATTCTACTGTCCTTTCATTGGCTCAAACATGGAGCAAAATGGGCTCCACATGCCTACTGCTCGAGGGTGAAAACTAGAAGCCAGGAGGTATGTACTCAGGTTCCTGACTACATTTTAATGAGACAGAGAGGGGGAAAATTATACTCCTCAGTGTGGAAATTCTGGGGATCCGGAATTCAGAGTAAGAGCAATTAATAAATAATGAGTAGAGTTGTAAAGAAAATAAATTTTTCAAGGACTCTGGAAAACATACTTAGAGCTGCAGTCTGGAACCTGCAGACAGAGTAATTGCAAGCATCATGTACCTGCTTACATGAATCAGAAGTTTATTAATTAGCTGTTTCTAAAATACCTTTTACAGCTGATGGGATATTAATGAAGTGGCTTGTGTTCCCACCCCAGCAGTTCTCTGTACAACAACCCTCCATATGCAGGGGAGAGCAGTAATGGGAGAAGGTGAGCCTGCCTGTGCAGAGCTGGGGGATGCTCCTGTTCTGCAAGAACAAAATCGTGATTTCTTATGTGGTGAGTTCTACCAAACTGTATTCAAGTAGTAGGGTCTTTTTTAAGGCTTATGTTGAGAATGTGTTGCCCTGTTGCTACCTTGCTACATACCCCTGCTTTTACATTCTCTTTGTGCCAAGAGAAGGTGGTTCCCACTTGAGGACTGACTAATATTTCTTCGTAACAGCCTTTTGGGTGGTTTTGACATCTGTTTTTTTCCATAAATCTCCTCCTCAGTTTAGGAATACTGTTATACCCTTTTCCACAGTCAGACACTTCAGGACAACCTCTAGTCACTGTGGAAGTGCAGAGTTACAATCCAAATGGAAATGAAAACAATTAAATTTATATGACAAGCAGGTATTTAGATGAGCCTAGATTTGTTAATGGTTCATTTCAACCTTTGAACTAAATTAAAAGTTGCTCTAATCTATTTTTAAAGAAATACCTATTTTTCATTTGTAGATGTCGTACTTCATCTTTAGATGGTTTTTCTTAATCTTAAGTGTGGCACCCACTGGCTGTGTTTGTACAAAGCACATATGCTTTTTTATACCACCATAGATGAGGATTCACACAAACCTATGAGCGAATGTGTGGCCTAAAAGGTAGATTTAACAAGCAATTACTTCCACGTCTCTTTTGAAAGTTGACTCCTGTCTGTTTAGTGATGATTGACATTAATTACGTGGTGCTGGCACATTCAGCACCACTGCACTTACAGGATGGATTTTGGGACCTGCTTCTTCTAGTGCCCCTCCGCAACTTCACTCATGGTGGCTGAAAAGGACTGGAAAACCAAAACCTGACTTTGTTTGTGGCCCTGTGCTAACGAGAGGCAATATAAATAGTCAAGACAGAGCATGGAAAAATAGGGGGAAAACTGAATGTAGAGAAAGCACATGAGGCTCTTGTGGTCTGAAAAGAGAGACTGTGTTTCTCTGAGCTTTCAGGTTGCCTTGACAGCTCCAAGCAAGATGACAACGGATGTCCTGTAAATATTTAAAGATGGAGTCTGACCCTCTCCCCTTTTGGTGCTACACTGCATAAAGGTAAAGACAGGCAGCGATCTTCCAATGTTTAAATATGTCAATTCTGAAAAGGTAGGCCACTCCTGTCATAGAGGCATTGGGGGGTTTTAATCAATATGTGACAGTCTAATGCCTGCGTTATAAAATCTGTGTGTTATTTCTGGGATGCTGCTTAACTTCATTAGTGGAAACTGGTCAGACACAAAGGTGGCAGGGTTTTCCCTGGTGGTGTCAGCTGAGGCCAGTGTATTGCTAACATATGTTTGTATTCTCTAACATATATTTGTTCCTCTTCTCTAACATATATTTGTTTGTCTTTTCTAACATATATTTGTCTTCTCTAACATGTATTTGTTTGTTTTCTTTCTGTTTTTTTATTCTTTTGAAGCTTGCTACATGTGGCAAAGGCGTAACTGCTATTCTGTTCAAGGTGGATACTGACATTAAGCGTTACTTTCAGGCTGGAATAATCCTGAATAATCAGTGAACTGAATAATCAGTAAGGTCTCTTTTGCATGCTACTTTGCAAAAACTGGCAGGGAGCTTCTTATGTGTTTTCACAGAGGATGGCATCACTTCCACCACAGTGGGCAGCAAGGCTGAAGATGCTCAGAGAAAATGCTACAGGCGTTTCTTTATCATCTTCGCAGTCTTGTGTTGCTGTACAGATGTGCAGCACTGACAATGAGTTTGCCTTTTCTTCTGCTCCCATCAGTGGGAAATCCAGTGCTTTTTGGTGTAATCCCAGTACAGTACTCTGTGTTTCCTGTGCAGGTGTGGTGCAGCCTTTGAACAAAAAGCCTTTGACCTTGCATTCCACCTTTTCTGCCATCTCTCCTCGTGCTGGTCATGGACCCAGGCCTGCAGGAGAAGGAAGCCCTTTGCTTCCCTTGAAGGAGTGGGATTTCCACAGCTGCAAAGTTGTGTTTCTAAAGCGGCTTGTATGTATTTTGTTGTATTCAATCTGATTCTCAGTATGAATTTATTTCATTTCTGAGGGTTCTTCACCCAAACCTGTCCCCAGTAAGGTTTTAAGAGATAGGAAACAAACTGAGTGGGTGGCTGAAGGAATGGGATCTGCTGGCCAGTGCTGCTTTACATGTACTGTTATGTGTAAAAAGCTGTGTAAAAGCAATGAAAACTGAACAGAAGAACTGCTTCTGTTTCTGTTGTGGGAATATCATGAAGCCAGGTTTCCCCAACAGTCACTGCTGGTAGAAAGACAATGGGCTTGTTGTACACTTGCAATGACATGGGCTGTGTGACAAGGGGTGGGTTTGGTCCTTCTTGGCATTCCCAGCACTCCTCTGCAAGCCTCAGACTGGGGAAGGGTGGAAGAGGGAGGTGGGACATGGGAAGGCAGCGAGAGCTTGCAGCTGGTGGGCTAGCAAGTGTGCACAAAAGTAGGAAGGGAAGTAAAAAGAACAGAAAATGAGAGAAAAAAAAAGACTGTAAAATGTAGCACATGAAGAAGAGAAAGATACTGGCATATTCTTCACTCTTCAGATTAGCTCAAGTAGATGTATATAATGGGTTTGTTTCCATTTGATATAATAGGCATTGGCATTTGAATACTGATTAAGGTTTAATGGTTGAAACCCCTTGCAGGTGGGATGAGGGTAGGGAGGTGCAGCCCAGTGGGTGACCAGATGCACTCAGGCAGCCCAGGAGGAAAACTCCTATTGTAAAATTCAGTCTGGGAGTTGTACGTGTACTTGCAATGTAGCATGAGTATGTATTGATTAGGGCAACGATGTCATTTTGTTTTGTGCTGAACAATCCAGCATTTGGAATTGAGACCTGTCAGGAGCCAAATGACTTTGCAGAGCAAATTGAAAAGAACAGGGCTATAAATTGCAAGGGAATTCACTTCATGGTTAACACTTGGGCGTGCTGTGAGAAACAGGACTGTACACAAACTGCCCTGCCATGCAAGTCCCAGTCAATGTGCTGACAAAGTATCCTGCTGAACCCCAGTGACTCGCTCAATATTTCTTAAAATAGCATCATTTAGGAGGCATGGGAAGGCATACATTTTCACCTTAAGTGATGCATGGATAGGAGGTATTGTGGAATTACTAAGGAGTCTGTAGATGAGCTTTGTAGCAGTCTTACTGCATTTACTTCATATATATAGCTTAAGTGTATTGAAATGGCTGTAACTGAAAAAGGATCTACTTGATACATATAACACCATTTCCCTTCTCCAGTATGTATTCTGAAAAGTGAGTACAATATTTTTTCCTAAGTATAAATCCAGGAATTGCCAAAAATCTAGTTCAGTACATAGAGGAAACTAATAACTCTCTCCAGCAAGTTCACCTTGCTGTGCTGGTCACAAACCGTGTGCCACAATCACTTGGTGTGCAGCATCTCCACATTCCATGGGCTCACGTGGATTTTCAGGAGCCCCATATCTCTTTGTGCACTTAAGTACCAACCACCAAACTCTTCCTGAAGGTCTTGCTCAGCTCCTCAGGCTGAGTCTTGGGCTGGATTATCATCCCCTCCAACTCTCCGCATGTGTTCTCTGCAGTTGTCACCCAGCTCAGCTTCCAACCACCACCTCATACTTCGCACTTAAGCACAAGATGATGTTTGGAGAGATACTACCATTTAAAAAGGCAGTGGCCAAAGAGTTTTAATGGTTTTGCTGTTTACTCTTGGTCAGTTAGAAAAATCAGGAAAAATGAGCAGACACTCACAGAGAGATTTGATGGGCCAAAGGAACCATTTGGAATGGTACTGATATTGGTTGGGCTGATTGGTTGGGCTGGTGGTTGTTAAAAGCAGTTCTGAGCAAGGAGTACATTGCAAATATAAAGCAAGGCTTTGGATACTGTTTGTGAGTTCAGGCATTCAGCACAGCAGCCAGCTTTTACAGAATTCCTGCTTGACAGCAAGCCAAGCATCGATGAAGCAGCACCGCAGTGTCATTAAATTTACAATACTAATGGGAGTGAGAGCAGAAGAAGTTACACAATTTAATGGAGGGGACTTACAAATGCAGTAGATACAATTTCAGTAATTATTTAGATCCCTGTAAAACCTTGTTATCCCGGTTTACACTTCCTTAAATTACAGATTATCTTTCCAGCCAGCATGATTGTGTCACATTTCAATCCAAGGGCAATTTGTCCTTTACAGGGAGGGGACCCATGAGTGCTCTAAAGCCATAATTCCCCCTTTCTTCCAGCCTCAGGAGGGAGCCAGCTCTGGTGAAGGGGGGTTCATGCTCCCCAGCTCCCCAGCACTCCCCAGCCTCCTGCCATGTGTACTGGGAATTTGGGGGAGGTCTGGGGGTGGGGGTGAAAACCACTAAGTGTAAGGAGACATTTGGACTGATACTTGCCAACTTTTCTGTTTTGTAAATTCTATAGGAATTTGAATTGCATGATATATTTTCACTTGCAAATGTTCCAGATTTGTTATTTTTCCATTTTCCACATTTTTTAAGCTTATGTCATTGCATAATGGTGTTGGGTTTTTTTTACCTCTGTCCTTGTGGAGGAATAAGCAGATATGAGTATCTCAGGAATAATTCCCTTGCAGCAGCAGCCTATCCTTGCCTGAAGACAAAATAATCCAAGAGATGTTAGTAGTTTTAATTTCCAGTTGTATAAGAGCTGATGCTTCTGGAAAGGTGTGATCTTTAAACCTGTAATAAACTCAGATGTCTCTCAACAGAGCTCTGTGGGAGCTCCGTATTTGTTAGAGGAGCAAAATATTGGAGCTACCAGATTGTTTTGAAATACAGTACTTTGTGGAAGAGCAACTGGAGAAAAATAAGCAGATGTTAAAGTGAAAGGACTGCAATGCATTTCAGTCCTGGGCTGGTTTATGCTAAGAAAGGGCAGGAGAAGCAAATGGAGGGCTGGAAGGCAATATTAGACAACAGTAGGAGATGTTTAGATAAACAATAAACAACCTGCTGAGCACAAGGATTAAGATAACAGTGGGAGAGATGTAAAAAGAGATTAAGAGGGGGGAAAAATGTAGTAAAATGCTGCAAGGATCTCGTCCTCAGCTTGCGCAAACTGGATTAACTTCCTTGCAGTCTAGGACCGCCAGCTCACGGGATTGTCCCCAGCTTCTGGGGGCAGCTGATGCCCTCATGGCCAGCAAGGAGTTTCTCCTAATTGGTGGTAGAAAACACAAGCAAAATTGAAACTGACAAATGCTACGGTGGGGAGGAAGAGAGAAGGAAACGAGCTTTTTTTTTTAATGCCAGCTGGTGCATCTTCTTCCATGGAAGAGGAGGAGGAAGAAGAGGGGGAATAGGAGGCGAAAGAGAAAGAGGAGGCTGGTTTTTCCATGGGAGAGGAGGAGGATGGAAAGTTACTGAGGGAACAGTTGTATTTCCTGGCATGACGTGATGGGGGAATTTGATCATCTCTTGATAACAGCAAAAAAGTTTTGCAAAAAATCTGTGCTAGTGTAATAAAAAAAGACGTCAGGATAGTGGAGTTCTGTGCCCTTAAAAAGGGATTGGGATAAAATGAGTGTAGCATTTGAAGGTCCTTTGAGGGAAAGCGCGGTTAGCGTAGCAACTCTGCTTTGCATCCAGCCCACTGTGCACCACATCACAAGCAGTGACAGAGCAGTTATACAGGGACAATTTTCTGTTACTTTTTTCCTTCCCTTTTTTTCTTTTCATTACATTCCACTGCTGGAAATACTCCTAGGATACTGAAAATAAACAATATCTCTTTCCCTACCATTTACCAAACACTGCTTCTCATTTACAGAAGCTCCTGCCCACACTAGGTGTGAGGAGACCTGGAGATACCACCCGCACCATCTGGTGGCTGCCTCACTTTTGCACTCCAGGCTCTTTGCAATCACATTAAAGAGCATTTCAGTGGGAAAAGCAACATTTCCACCTTCTTTCACTGATTTAAGCTTTCCTGTTAATGGCACACATTTTCCTTTCCACTGTGTGCAATATAAATCCAGTTTTAGCTTTGTGCGATGTTCATTGGGCTCTGTGGGCTATTGTGAAGTTATTCCACTGTCGCTGAGGTAATTTGGATCTTTTCCTATTACTTGTCTCTATTCTAGGGAATAAACATGCTGGCATTTTCTGCAGATGTGCCTCCTGTACCGAAAAATCCCCCACAGCACCAGAAATCAGTGCAGGCACAGAGGATGGAGGTGGAAACATTCTGAAAATGCCATGCTGGCTTTTCTGCAGTGATGGTGTTGACATTTTGCATATAGTTATCAATACTACTGTGTGTGTGCTTCAGGGGTGAAGCTGTCTGACAGGGGAGGTTTCTTGGGGTGACCAGCAGTGCTCCCAGCCACCCCTCTCAGCTAGTTGCTGTTCTTGATCTTCTTTGTCTAGGACGTTTCTCCCAGTTGCCATTCTCACCCCCCTCTTGTGTTTTATTTAGAGAAATTGCTATTCCAGTGCGTTATGATGAACGTGATCTGGTCACCATATTTAACGTGCCCTTGGATAACATTTAAATACGTAACGGCAAACCAAGCTGTGATAGCTCTCACAGTGAGTCAAGAGCAAGCTCATTTGAAAAAGTACTTCACTAGGAATTAAAATAAAATTTCCATTTTCCACAGTTACATTCTGATTCTAGTTGTCATTAACTTACTCAAAACCCCATTTGGTATTTCAAACTTTAGTAAATCATTGTGTCTTCCAATTAACTTTTATACTCCAGACAACATAATGCCGCTAATTTCATTCAACTCTGTTGTTTAATAAACATCTAAACAATTCCTTATTTCTGAGTCATGAATAAATGTGCAGTTATATTATCATGTGCACGTGGTAATGGGCAGAAGGAAAATTACTGAAGGGAAATTCATCTTGGTTTTTTGGTTTATCAGCTTCGGAGGAGCGATACTGTGTGAGTGATGGGCACAGCCAGGGAATTAGACAGCCTTCCCTATCACACACGCTTTATTTGCAAGGAGGTTTTTTTCGCTGTCTAAGCAAAGGCACTCCAGGGGTCAGCTGGATGCTTAACAGTTCAGAGAGTGAAGTGGATGTAGTGGTGACTGTAAGTGATGATTATTTCCATCAAAGAGATAAGTCAGGGGAGCTACAACACTGGAACAGCAGTTGGAGACAGGCTTCTGAACTCGCACTGTTCTGGGATCAGCTGCATGTGCACACAGTGGGCCAAGCTAAATTTAAGTAATATGGCCTGTTAAAGTGATGTGAGCTAAATAGTACTATTTCAGTGATGGAACTATGATTTTAGATTATTTAGTATTTAAATATTGAGAGGACATGCCTGTTGAGGCACAGTTACGATCCCAGCGTCCTAGCAGATGCTGCCATAGCACGGCCACAGGCTGGCCCAGAGAAGGGCAGTGTATTTGAACAGAGGTTTTCTCACCAATGCTCTCATTAAAGCTGGCAGGTTTTTAACACTGGCAGTTTTTACAAGGTGGTCAGCACACGTGTGAGTTTTTCTGCCGGTGTAATAGCAGAGGGCTCTGTGTGCTCAGGGAGGGTCATGGCCCTGCATGGCCATTGTTCCTCTGTAGGAGATTGCTGTGTGCTGGTAGGTGACCTGTAGAAGACATTATCAACATTGAAGAAATGTCATTCCTTCTGATTTTTCATTCTGAATATTCTCCCCAGAAGAGTTTGAGCAGGTGTCTAGTCAGGGAGGGGAAAGACTGCTGTGTAACTCACCAAACTGATCACACTAGAGTGTGAAAGCTCAGCATCTGTGGCCTTCCCAGCAAACAGATAAAGCGTGGTAAACCCATTCCAGTAGCTAGTGTCTTTGAGGAACATGATCTCCTCAAAGGATTCCTGGAGCAGAAAAGAAGAAAGATTTGATACCTTGAATGCTTGCTAACTACTGACACATAGCCGGGTTGTGGGATGCAGAACCCCATCTCTGAGATGGAGTATTTCTATGGCAGGTGACAACCATGGCCAGGAGCATCAGTCAGTCTGACCACACTGTGAAAAACCTTCTGGTCCATTTTATGCCTAGCAGCAAAAATGTGTGTATGTTCATAAAGTAAGGAAATACAACAGTGCCTGAACTGTGGGAAGAGAGCTACAGAGGCAGTGCTGTAGCAGAATGTAAGCAGGCCATATTGGTCAAAATAAGTTTATTTAGTGGTCAATGTTCTGATGTTTTTCTCAAATGTATTTGCAGAGCTATTAAAAGCTGTGTTTAATCTCTGCTCCATTTGCAATCTGATATGCATTATGCTTCTTCCACAAGGAGCAAATGCAGTTAATGGCACTGGATGGCTCTGCCTCTGCACTCGGGGAGGCTGGACAAGGTCGCCTTGTCCAGGGCTGCTCTGCCAGGGAAATCTGGAGACATCTCTGAACCAAAGGAAAACTTCTCTGAATTAGTAATGACATTTTATTTTTAAGGGACTCAAACTCAGGCAGCATTTTAAAAAATGAATCATGATTTTAGGTGATTTATTTCTGCATGGATGCTCAGAACTGCCTGAAAATTGTCTGTTAAAAATGCTTTAACTTCTGTCTCTAATGGAGGTGCTCAAACTCACTAAACTGTTTGGCAAACACTGGATGTAGTGTCTCATCCTCCTGATTATATCCCATATTTGCATTTCCTTGAACAGATAAAAAACAAATTGGCAATGAACAGCAGAGCTAGAGCAGGAATAACCAAACTGGGTTAGAGAAGTACTGCTGGTTTGGAGATGGCACACTGCGGCCGCAGACACACACCCAGGCCCTTTGCAGCAGAGCACCCCGCGGCTGACTGGGGATCCCAGTGCCACTTGGGGTCAGACAGAGAAGCAGGGTCTCCAGCCTAGTTCCCACTGGGTCTCTCTGGGGATGTGCTGATGGGAGCAAGTGGCCTGGCTCAGCATGGCTCAGGTGCAAGGTGCTGTGGGAGTTTTCTGTCCTTTTCATTTATTTCATCAGAAGGATGTAAGCCAAGGTTTGATATTTTAATACTTGGCCTAATATTAAGTAGGGAAATATAGCAGATGTCCTTCATAAAGATGTAAGTAATCTCTACCGGTCTGTTATTAATATGGATAGATTGACTGAATACATTTTGCCTCAGTGGCTCTTGAGAAATGAACAGTTTGTTTCCAGTCATTAAAATAATTGGGTGCTCTGTCTACTCTGCTAAGGGCACAGGTGAAGGGCCAACTGAGCTCAGCATGAGTGAGGGTGCAAGCTGGCAGCGTGTCCCCTCCTCACCAGGATGGTGTACATGTGTGCTCCCGCCCTGTGATGGAGGCAGTGCCACTGCCGCACCACCCGTGGCATTCCTAGTGGTGCCAAAGCCCACCAGAGGCCTGATGAAATCCAGGGGAATGCAGGGCTTAAGTAGGTCTTAGGTGCTTAAATGGCTTGGAGGAGTTGGGCCCTGGCCCTGCTGAAAGCTCATGAATAACCCACTCATGCTGACCCATTGGTTTTAATGAGACTTCTCCTGTAATAAAGATAGTTCCATAAATAAGTGATTATAGGATTGAGCCATAAGCAATCACTAAGTATTAGATGTAACTCATGGGACCAAGAGAAGTCCTTAGTTTTATTGGAGGCAAGGGAAAAATGTGATTTGCTGGATCTCATTATGTATCACCTTCACTATATAAAAAGGTCTTGGAAAATGTGAGTAAACCCAGTGAGGCCCTGTTATACTGTTCAAGTGATGTACAGATAGGAGGGAGAAGGAGCTCTATAATTGCATTTCTCTTTCTACGTTGTTTTTTTCGAGTAGTTCTTAATCTAGGTCTTTTATCTTTTTTGAAAAAGCAAAGAGACATCCTTGTAATGCTGGTGTTAGGTAGCAATTTCTGTAAATATGCTTGAAATGCACAGAAGTCATCCCAGGGGAACTGCTGAGGCCATGCAAAGCTTTTCTCTGCATCGGCAGTTTAGAGCTAGGTGAGGTTTATATTAGTAGAAGGGCTGGACATTTTTGTACAGGTTAGGAATGTGCTACTAGAGCCAGGTGAGTACAACCATGGTACAAAGCTGCCTTGGGTGCTGCTGCTTCTGCTGCAGCTCTTGTTAGGGGTCTGTAAACCCATTGTTGTTAAAGGAGTGCAGAGTCGCAGCTCTCTGATGAACTAGGCACAGCAAGTAAAGTTGCATTAGGATCTGCTGCTGAAAGCATCGCCAAAAATGAAGGATGCACCAAAAATAAACAGTGCACCAAACTGACTCTGCAATTTTGCATTCTTCTCTCTGAGGTGCAGGAGGAGCACAACCTGGCTGTTGGCTCCTTGGTCCCGGCAGGGCTGCTTACTGTGTTCCACTGGTCCCACTAAACCAAAACCTCGTGTGAACTGAGGTGAAAATCTCTCTGCTCCATGACAATGCAAGATCTAGTACAATGGTGTCCATGCCTTCAGTCGGAGCCTGTAAACATCACTGTGGTACACAGCGAAAGTAAAGATATAAATGGACCTTTTGTTTTATCTTTCAATAAACTACAAATGCAGAAAAATAAAGGTAAAATAAAAACATCCATTCACTTCAATGGGATCAGAGGAGTTCAGATGTTTGGGTAAGTTTTCTTTTACTATTCCCTTCCTTAACTTTGATAGGTATCACTAACTGGAGTTGTAGATTGTGAGGGTTCTAGTGGTAAGCAAATAAGAAGCAATAAAAATGGCTGTTGCAATACTTGTACAATGAAGAGACAATTTTCAGGACAACTATAGTTAAGTAATTATGAACAGGACCAATGTTTCCACTGAATAAATTCATATTAGATTATTCCCTAATTCTAATGATTATTTAAGGGACAAAAGTCATAGAATAATATACTCTAGAAGACATATCTATCTCCAAAGTCCCTGAAACAATGCTTAAATCTTCAGTTATTACTCACCTTTAACATAGTTCTCATCAATGGCACTATAAGCCTTAGAGCTGACACTTTGGATAAGTACATGATACAGTTCAGCTCTAAAACCCTTAACAGAAAATACATCAGGACTTACTGTAAAATTTCATGGAGGATTAGAGAAAATATTAAGTCAATAGTTCTTTAGTTATTAGGGGCTTTTAAAGTAATCAATACTTTCCAACCATATTAGTGCCAACAGTGATGAAAGATGACATTAACATCTAACTCTTCTTTTTTTGATACATTTATGGATATCCTTTCTTTAGTCAGTCCTGCTGGAGTCAATAGCGATACAAAGAATATGGATAGTTTTAAATGTCATCAGTATTGATTTGCTTATTACAGCCAGTTTCAAGTAGAACTTGATTTCAGGAAAAAAATTACTTTTCCATACAAAAGAATTACCGATCACCTTAAAACTTTGGAGTACCACCTGACTTTGCTTATGGTGATCTTCACATTTAGCAGTGTGCTAATGCAGCGAAAACTGGTTTAGGATTAATAAACCCTAAAAATAGGATTAATAGGATTAGTTCTAAGAGTTCTTTAGAGTTACATGACATTTTATGCCCTTAAAGCATTGCACAGACGTTAATTACATTTAATTGATATCATTCAGCCTGAACTTATATGCGTGCAGTTATTAATGATTTAATTATTTTGTCAGTGGAATAGATTCTTTGCCTTTGACTCTGTTTCATAAAATTGAGATGGTCAGCCCGTGTACAGTCTTTAGGCTCAATCCTTTTTATTCAGGCAACTATGGAATACGCTAATATGGAATGTGGAATATGGTCAAATGACAAAATTTCCTGCACATTTTTCTGGTTGTGCAGTTCCCCAAGCCACTTATTTGATTGCAATCAAATACTACAGTTTCAATGAGCCCAACCACACAACAGAAATATTACAAATGTAGCTGTATCTCTTTGCCTGTGATTGCCTGCACTCCAGAAACTAGTAAGTACTCAAGACAGATATATAAAGAATAAAACCCGACGTGCTACAGGAGTTTCAGACTCTATCTGCTGATTCTGTCTCTGTAAACATGCTTTGGTGAAAACTAATGATCTCTCTACCTCTTCTGTTGCCTTGATGCAAGGGATTGAAGTATGCTACATCATCAGGACTACTGCAGCATCGTCAGCCACACATGGCCAGTCCTCAGATGCTCAATGCCCTGACCAGCTCAGTGGCTTCTGCTGAACCTGCATGCTCTTACCTTTGTCTCTCCTCATTTACCCATGCCATGCGTGGGGGAGCCCCAGGCTGGATGGAGTAGTCTGGATGCAGTCTAAGGAGTGCTGGATAAAGGCAGATGTTTCCAACAAGTTATTATCTTCACAGCCTGAGTTATGTGGGGGGTTGTTCCTGCTCAGGCAGGAATAATTTGCATGTGCCTTTGTTCAGTTTGATAAGCTTCTGGTCAGTCTGTTTCTCCAGCCTGTTATCTGTGAATCAAAAGCACATTGACTAGTCCTCCCAATTTGATACTATCTGCAAACTTGACAAGAATGCCTCCTCTAGGCTACTGCCAAAGGTGTTACATGGGACAGAGCTGCAGCTGCAAAGAACTGCTTGACTTGCAACTTCAGAGAGTATGACTTTGTCAGAGCACTGTAATAATTTAATATCTCCATTGAATGGCATCCTTTAGTTCTTTTGTAATTAACAAAATCATAAACATTGTTATCTGATTTAGTCAAGAGTGGCTGTGAGATCTGCAGTGTTTGCTATATATATGTTACAGACAGTATGTGTCAGGGAAAAATAACAGCAGGTCTGTTTAATGTAGCAGTTCTGTTTGAACGTGACTTTTGCAAGCCATTGTTTCTATTGAACTGCAGGGTTTATTTGCATGCAGTGATTGCTCAGCTTCCAAATGAGTGCCAACGAATGAAGAATGGATACATTTAACTGATTACGGAATCCAGAACTGCATTATTTTGGCTAGATTTAAACAACACTGGACTACAATTTTAATCTTGTTTCCAACTGATGTGTACATTCTGATGGACATGGGAACCCAGGCTCTTGCAGCAATTGCCAGCTGGAATGTCCTGTACAAATTATCTTCCAAATGCCTTAAGATCAGCAAAGCTGTTTCACATAGAGTTTGTCCCTTTCTGACCCATTCTGAGGCAGCTGAAAGAAAGTCTCTTACTAACTACTGCCAGGCTTGAAAGTGAAGGAAGCTCCTCCTTAAAAATATCCGTGAATCAACTGCTTTTAGAAGCTCTATTGGGATATATTGCAAAACTACTCCCAAAACCAAAATGATTGGAAAGAGCAAAAAAGTGGATGCAGTATGAAACCACTGAACCAGTCATGCTAAAACCAGTTACTCAAGCAGGTCTTAGCATGAGGCGTGAAGCACTTGATATGAAGTAAATCAGCTGCAGTGCACTTGGAGCGTTTCCAACATGGAAACCTATGAATTATCATCAGCTTTCTAAACCTGTGTTCCTGGCTGATAGTGTTAAAATCCTGTTGTCTCTAGACTGCTCGTACAGAAAGTACCTTTTTCTTACAAACAGTAAACGTCTCTGAAATGTAATGGGGAAGCATCTCCATTGCAATATTGATTCTTGTTCCTCTCACTGCCGTGGCTGGTCTGGGCTGAATACAATTAGATGCGATCCATGTACTCAGGGGAAACAAGGCTTCTTTTCACGAACTAAGCCTTCTTCAACTTGTAACAAATAGGGCATTAAAAGGGAATTATTACATTTTGCATTTTATAAACGAGCTACTCTTCTTCCATTGGGTGTCAGACCCTAATGATCAAGTCAGTGAAAACATTTCAATCCCTATTTATCTGGGAAAAGAGCAAAACATAAAGAAATCACAGAAAACACAGCATTTAGCTGACCTCCGACAATACATCATTTATATAGCTTTTGCTCCATCTTTCCAAAAGGCCATTTAGCTTAATAGGCTCTTACATTTTTCATTTCCTTATGTTACAGGTGCTGGGGGGATGATTTTCAAAAGAACAACAAAATGACATTTTACCTGACTGTAGGAATGAATTCACAGTGGTGGTTTAGCAGTCTCACACCTTTCGTGCCTTAGATTTGCCTTCCATAATGTGGAATGAGTAGTAAAACACTTTAACAAAACAATAGAAAATTTAAAATGAGAGCATACATACAAGTTTCTATCTTATTATTTTCTAAAGTAATTAGTATTACTTTTAGTAAATTGTTATTACTATTTAGTAAATAGTATTACTGTTAGTAAATTGTTAAAATGTCTGTAATGAAAATTAATTGACTAATTGAATTTTCATAAATTTAGGCAAAACCAAGATGATATATTGCTGGAAATCTTAAATACTCAGACATTGAAGGAAATTAATCCTAAGTGGGACTTTGATAGTAGAACTTCTGCTTTGATTAATTTTTCATGCTTGATAGATAGTGATATTAAACTATTAACATTAATAACCTTACTATTTACAGGTAATTATCCCTATAAATGAGCTGTGATAGTTTGAAAACATCTGTTTCCTTTTGAAATCTGTGTATACTGCCCTTAAACAAGGTGAAAATTCGGTGTGATAACTCTGAGGACTCAATTGCTTTATTCTCTGCAATTAGATAACAGCTTAAAACGTAATTACTGCATTTTTATGGATCACTCTGTGTATTGTGTGTTGCCTTAATCATTTAGCTTTATCTGATACTTTAGGCATTAAACAAATCATAAGATTGATACGTGTGAGATTTTTAAATAGAAGTGTTTTATTCTTTTGCTTATGAAATTCTTCAGTGGAGACATCCTTTAATGAACTTTGCCATAACTGCTTCCTCCTTGGTGTCTTAGAACCACATTGTGAGTATCCACCCACACATTAACCCAGACCTCCTGAACCTTCACTAACACACACGGATCCTGCTCTCTGAATGCACAAACACTGTAACACTCTCAATTGAGAGCTAAATTGGTGCCAGCTGAATATTCAGCTAGTACTCTGAAACTACTCGTGATCAAATACCTGAAGCACCTTGTGCAGACTGAGAATTTCTGTTTTTCAGAAAGTGTATTTCCCTCCCATTCTCAGAGGAGGTTTTGCCCATCACTTTATCTGAAGTCCTTTAAAGCTGTTAGTCAGTTCGGTGTTTCACTAAGAGATTCTCTCAGGCAGAGGAATCCTCTTAATGTGACTGTTATGCTAGTCAAGAGAAAATGCTACTTTGTAAGTAGTTTTGTACAGGAGAGAGGTTATCTGGCAGAGGTTTCCTTATCCATACAGTTGGCAGCAAGATCCCTTTTTTACTTCCAGCAGAGATGAAACTGGCAGTGGATGGATTTTAAGTGTGGTGCTGTAGGGGAATCCAAATGCCTTTCTGAGGCTGTAATTACCCTCCAGAAAGGACTCAGCTGTACCAGGAAGACATAGTCATAGGTGCTCATGATGGGAAATGCCTCAGCAGAAAGACTATGATGGTCATCAGTCTGCACTACTGAAACCGTGTGACATGAATGTGGCAGCTCTAATATTAGACTATAGATTGATACGGGCTCAGTATAGCTGGGGTGTCCAATATGAGTTTTAAGGCCAGATTCTCTGTGATTTTTCCAGCTCTTTCATGTCTCCTATGTTCTTCAGTGTTTGAAAGGGTTTCCTGAGATTTCTTTTAGAGTGTGAATGTCCTGAAGCATCACACCAGGAGATGTAAAGAACACGTCAACATAGATAGAAAGTACAGCTAGACTCATTATGCCTAATATATCTCCCATTACCTGTGGGACCTAGGCTACTCTAATCTATGTAAGGGTCAAGGATGACAGAAGTCCTGCAAAAGCAAGAACAAAATGAGAACTGCAAATGCAAAAGAACATGTCCAGAGTGCCCATTCCTCTGCTTGTCCAGGCAGAAATCCAGCAGAGTTTGACATTTATGCCCATTACATGTAGTTTATGTCCATTACATTGCAGTATATATTTCTTCCGCCATCTTTGCTTTGGAGTGATACAATACTCAGTATCACTAGTAAAAAAAAAGTTAGGGAATGATGCTAACAAGGTAACTTTCAGCACAAGAAACAGAAAATCTAAGCAGACTACAAAGAAAGTATCCTCAGTCTCTACTAAATCTCAGTACTTTGTGATGAAAAAAACTCAGAAAGAACTTGGCTTTGAAAAGTTTGCTCCATGTCTTTTCCCTCTTTTCAATGCTAGCTCTGACTCTCTGATGCCTTTTCACTGCCATCATCTGCTGAGGTTATGTGTCTTCTTCCCCAGGACAAACTGCAGCCATGTGAAGCCAGGAAAAGCCTGAAACAGAATCAAGAGTGTTTTCCCCAGGATTAATAACAATATTGTTATAAATGTCGCCACATTAACTTCTCTGAACCTTCCTGAGTACCGAGTGATTTTTCTGCATGGATAATGAAAATAGCATGCTCTATATGCACAGTGCAAGAAAGATAGTACTTTTAGCTTACACTTAGTACTCTGTATTTTAATTCAAAGTAAAATTTATTAACTAGGTGCCTCTATCTAAATGTATATAAAACCATTTTTGTTATATATGGGAACAATTTAATTGTCTTTATTAGTTAATATACACATATATAGACACTGCTTGCACTGTGAGTAGGCATTGCTGAAGTGAGCTCTACAGAGAGGTAGATCTTCGTCAGCAACATCATCTATAACTAGATACACACTGATCTTCTTTCTAAGACAGATGCTGAGAGAGCCACAAGAACAATAAGAAAGGAAAAGACATGTTATAGCTAGTAAGGCTCAATGGCGTTGCTCCTGTTCATGCTGGCTGAAGATCTCGCCACCTAATTGACACAAAGACAACCAAAAATTTTGTTACAAGAAAAAATTAAAAGCAGTGATCATCCTTGCAGCTTACACCATCTGTGGACACATCAGGTCCGTGCTAACCTCCATCTGAAAGCTGTGGACAAACCTCAGGGTGGCC